CTAGTCGAGTCAGACAAACATAGCAGTCTTCCTACAAGCCTCTGAAACTGCTTCACATCCTTGACAACCTCACCCTGACAATCACCTAATTTGTGATTAGGATCTATAGGAGAATCAGACAATTTTACTCACAATTTTCTTGTATCCTTCTATGAGCAGCAACTTCAATCCCAAGAAAATATCTTAGAGGACCTAGATCTTTTACCTCAAACTGAGTAGCTAGGAACTCTTTCAACTTATGAATTTCATCTTTCTAGTCACCAGTGATAATTATATCATCAACATATACTATCAAGGCTGCAATTTTACCTTTTCCCCTTTTCACAAACAATGTATGGTCAGATTGACACTGTTTATAGCCTTTTTGTTGTATAGCTACATGAAATTTATTTAACCAAGCCCTTGGTGATTGTTTTAGGTCGTATAACGGCTTCTTCAACCTGCACACCTTTTGTTCATTGCCTTGAGCCTAAAAACCAGGAGGTTGCACCATGTATACCTCTTCTTCAAGGTCACCATTTAGGAAAGCATTCTTGATATCAAGTTGATGAAGATCCCAATCAAAATTAGTGGCCAAGGAGAAAAAGACTCTAACAGAGTTCATCTTAGCAACTAGTGCAAAAGTCTCTACATGATCTACTCCATACATTTGAGTAAATCTTTTTGTTACTAACCAAGCTTTATACCGTTCCACAATGCCATCAGCCCAATGTTTTATTGTAAACACCCACTTGCATCCAATTGGTTCTTTCAAGAAGATCCACAAATTCCCACGTACCATTTTTATGTAATGCATTGATTTCCTCCTTCATTACATCTGTCCATTCAGGGACTAAGAGAGCATCTGCCACATTCTTAGGAATAGGGACACTGTCAATGGAAGAAAGGAAGGAATGAAACAAAGGGAAAATGTTTACTGGTTCGGTCCATCGGTTTTTCGGATTTTATATTTACAATATATATTATAAAAAATAAATATATAATAAAAACTATAAATATATATTATATTTTAAATAATATATAATATATTATAAATATATATTTATATATAATGTGTGTTTATTAATTTATAATATATAGAAAATATAAAATATATATATAAATGTATAATATACATAAATATATGTATATCGGTCGATTTGGTTAATCGTTGGTTTTCAATATTGGTTAGTCGAAACCAAACTAATAGCTTTATTTTTTCTAAAATACCGAATTAACCAGTTCGATTAACCAAAATTTTGGTTCAACTCGAGTTTTTGGTTTTTCTTGCTCACCCCTAAATACAGTTACCCTTGCCCAGTCAAGTACGGCTTTTTTGGCATCCAAACCCTCCCATTAGATTAACAACTCTCAAGCTTCCAATCAAATGATTGGGTCTCCAGGTGTATTTTCTACTCTTTCTCAATCCTCTACATCACACACTGTTACTCTTGCTAATGGATCCATATCTTCCATTTGCGGTTTTGGTAATGTAGACATAGAGTAATTATCTTTGTCTTCAGTTTTTATATGTTCCCAAATTGCCCTTTAACCTTATGTCTGTTAGTAAGCTGACCAAATCACTTAACTGCTCTATTACCTTTTACCCTTCTTCATGTATTTTTCAAGATCTCAAGATGGGGATGAAGATTAGTGAAGGGCATGAAGCTACTAGATTGTATTATCTTGATGGTGGTGGTTTGTCGACAACTCTTCAATCATCCTTTTCTCCCCTCTAGTGGCACTACAGGCTTGGTCATCCGTTTCTAAGGCACTAAAGCTGCTTGTTCTATCATTGAGTCGTCTTTCTACTTTGGAATGTGAATCGTGTCAATATAAGAAACACCATTTTGTTCCCTTTAGTCCTAGGGTTGATAGTCATATGTCGAGTCCTTTTTCTTTGGTCAATTTGGACATTTTAGGTCCAAATATAATAGTATCACACAATGGTTTCAAGTACTTTGTAATTTTTGTTGATGATTATTCAATGATGACATGGCTTTATCTTATGAAAGAAAAAAAGTGATTTTTTTTCGATTTTCCAAAAGTTCCATGCTTGAAATTCACACTCAGTTTGGTATACACAGTAAGATTCTTCATTCTGATAATGGCCGAGAATATTTTTATACACCGTTTTAGGAATATTTAGAACATGGCATTATACATCAAACATCATGTACTTACACCCCTTAGCAAAATGGGGTGGATGAGAAAAAAACCGCCATCTTTTAAAGACTACTTAATCCCTTTTGCACTATATAAATGTACCCAAACATTTTTGGGGTAATGTTGTGCTTACATCTTACTTATTAATCAAATGCCCATGTCTATCCTTGAAAGTCATTCTCCCTTCTCTGTTTTGTTCCCCATCTTGTCTCATTTTCCTCACTCCCAAAGTTTTTTGGGGTGTGTGTGCGTGTGTTTTGTTCGTAATCTTGGGCCTGGAATGGCCAATTAGATGCACGATATACTAAGCGTGTCTTTCTTGGCTATTCTAGGACCCATAAAGGGTGTAAGTGTTATAACCCCATTTCCAACATTCTTTGGTTTGTCTCAATGTCATGTTCATTGAGTCTTCCATTTTTCTCTAGGTCGGAAGTCTATCCTCTTTCTCCATGACTCCACTTCCACTTCCAGTTCCTGTTGAGGACCCCATTCCTCTTGTTCTAGTTGTGACCAAGTCTTCACCTCCAGTGCAGCTTCCTATTGAACAACCACCCATCAAGCAAGTGTATACGCATCGACATATATTGGCTCCTCCTCCTGTTTCTTCATCGTTGAAAAATCTGGCAGTTGTTACCATACCAGCCTCGCCCCCTCTCTCTAACATTGACCTTCGCATTGTCGTGCGTAAAGGTAAATGCGGTTGCACTCTTCATCCCATTTCTAATTATGTTTTTATATCTCACATCCTACCTCCTATCGACTATTTGTCTCTATTATTTTTTGTTTCTATTCCTAAGAATGTCCAGGAAGCTCTTACCTCTCCAAGGTGTCAGGGTGATGCCAAGCAATGGAAGAAAAACTCTCAGCTCTAGCTCATAATCATGCGTGGGATTTCACCACTCTCCCTCTTGGCATGCATGCTATAGGTTGAAGTGGATATACATTGTCAAGTATTTACCAGATACCTTTTCTCCTATTGCTAAGATTGGCTTAGTCCGTGTTTTGATATCCCTAGTTGTTATATATGATTTCCCTTTCTTTCAACTCGACATCAAGAATGCCTTTTTACATGACGACCTTCTTGATGAGGTCTACATGGAATAACCACTAGAATTTGTTGCTTAGGGGGAGGATGGTAAGGTGTGTAGACTCAAGAAGGCCATTTATGGACTTAAATAGTCTCCCCATGCATGGTTTGGTAGATTCAGTGAAGTGGAGAAAGAATTTGGCATGAGACAGCGTCAAGTTGACCATTCAATATTTAGCTACGATTTAGGTGTTGAGAAGATTTTGTTGGTGGTATAAGTAGATGACATTGTTATTACCGGTAGTGATAGTTTGGGGATTGATAGGCAGAAGACCTTTCTGCATGATCACGTCCAGACAAAGGATCTTGGTAAATTAAAATATTTCTTGGGGATAGAGGTAGCAAGGTCTAAGCATGGTATTAATCTATGCCAAAGGAAGTATGTTCTTGATCTGTTAGAGGAGACAGGATTGTTGGGTGCCAAACCAGCTAAAACACCCATGGAACAAAATGTCGTCGAGTAGTGATGCAAATGAGGAGTTTGAAGATCCTGAAAGGTACAGGAGGTTTGTCAGTAAGCTGGATTACCTAACCATTACTCGGCTAGATATCTCATTTGCAGTTAGTGTGGTGAGTCAGTTTATGCAAAATCCCTAGGTTCCACATTGGGATGCAATTCTAAGGATTGTAAGGTACTTTAAGGGAGCTCTAGGTCATGGCTTGTTATATAAGAGTGGAGGAAGTCTTGAGAGAGAGGATACATAGATGTTGGTTGGGCCAGTTCAATATCTGACAAGAGGTCCACTATAGGGTATTGTACCTTTTTGGGGGGCAATTTGGTGACATGGAAGAGCAAGAAGAAGTGCTGAATCTGAATATAGAGCCATGGCACACACTACACGTGAACTAGTATGGTTGAGAAACCTCTTACAAGAGATGGGGTACTCGATTGATACCCTTATAAAGCTATATTGTGACAACCAAGTTGCAGTCCACATTTCCTCAAATCTAGTTTTCCATGAGAGAACAAAACGTATAGAAGTTGATTGTCACTTTGTGAGAAAGACGGTGCTTGATGGAGTGATAAGTATTGCATATGTAAACACAGGAAGTCAATGGACAGACTTGTTCACCAAAGGGTTGAGTCGAGGAAGAGTGGATTACATATGTAACAAGCTAAGACTATATGACATATACTCACCAACTTGAGGGGGAGTGTTAGATTGGCTGTAAAGGGGTAGTTTGGTCATTTCATTTTATGTTAATAGTGTGGTGTAATGGCTGTTATATTCTGGTTTTAAGTATTTCTCCCATACTTAATTAGGGACATAATTGTCTTTGTGCTTTTAATTAGAAACCTATAAATAATATCTGGCCGACTAGAGAGAAACTACTTCTCTAGCTCGGACCAGCCTTTCTCTTCCATTTCTTTTTCTATTCTCTTCTCTTCCTTCACTTCTTTCTATCTTCTCTCTTCTCCCTCAACTATTCTAGAACTGAAACCAGTACAGATCTGAACTGTAACAAGCACCAATTCAGGTTTTGTTAATGTTCTTTTAGACTACTGCATATGGTTCTGTCATGTTTCATTTTCTAACTTTCCTCCCCATAAATCAAGAAATCTCTAGTATATGAGAATAGATAATGATAGGGAGCTCCACAATTAGTTATACTTAAACAATTCTCTTATATTCTACAGCTGTTTGCCAACATTTAAGCAATGCCATGACAGAGATTTTCTTTACCCTATACAGCATATTAAAAAACAAGAATTAAGAAGCATTTGTTTAGGATATCAGGTACATATAAAAAAAAAAAAGAAACTTACTCTTCTCAGATGTAGAACCCATCCTGCAGTAATGTCTGCCATTGCATGGTAGAACAGATTTAGTAAATAGAAATGATGAAACACCAAGAGTGAACAAAAAATATTGTCAGAGCTACCCCAAAAAAAATTATCCATCAGTCATCAAGAAGGATAAGACATGCTCTCAGTCATAATTGTCAAAATATGCTGCAAATAGAAGGGAAAATTGCAACTACCAAAGTAATGGATAAATGCTGGAGTTTGAGGGTACAAATCAATACCCGCTGCTGCAAGGAATTTTTTCGATGGTAGTTGGACAGTATGATCCTGGTGAACAGAATACCTCAGAACTGCTAACAACATCAGCCCAAATATCTGCTCCACCACATTGATGATCTAGCTTTCCTGGAGGTAGTTGATAACTATATCTGTATGTTTTTTATTTCTAGGCATAAATATTAACTCAGAATATAAACAATAAAAAATATGTGATATAGGATCTTTCAGACTTAATCACAACTTACGGATCGCATACTCCAGTGGTTTTATTGAGTGTTGCAAGTGGACAGTAAGAACCTAATGGACAAGCTTCAGTGACAAAGAACAAATAGCAACAATAAAAAGTAAAGGTTAGGAACTTTTCCATCCCACTAATGAGTCGTAGCATGGTTTCAAACATCATAATATCCAAGAATATGATAGTATGACACATTATTACAATAGCAAAGAATCATGCATGCTTAGCAACAAATGCATATATACACAGAAACAAGCAAGTGTGCACCTTTTCTCTAACCATGCACCTATTATGTATTTCATCTTTTTTTTTTCTGTAAGTATTTTTTTATAAGTACTTTTTTGACAAATCTTGGAAACAGCCTCTCTGTATGTGCAGGGCTAAGGCTGTATACATCTGTCCCTCCCCACATTGGTGGAAGCCTCATTCACTGGGCCACCCTTTTATTTTTTATAAGTATCTTTTTGATAAGTATTATTTATTTATTTCATCCTTTTATCAAAGAAAGACAACAAATGCATATACACAGTAGAAATGATGTCAAGTTATAGACAAGTAAAGAAAAGATAGACAGACAACTTGAACTATTTATGGGTATAACATACAATATGGGCCCCATGTGTTGACATTACCCATATTATTGTATGTGTTAGAATACACAAATCAGGGGTATTTTGGTCATTTGGATTTATCTATTTGAGAGTGAAATGTCTATTTTATTTAAGTTTAAGTTATGTGTCCCATCACTTATGAGGGATAATATGGTCTTTCTTGTAACTATATTATTTGAGATAAATACAAGTGGGTCGGCTAGAGGTGGACTGATTTTTCCTAATCTGGCTGAACCCTTCTTCTCCTCCTTCTTCTTCTCCTCTTCTTCTTCTTTCTCTTCTTCTTCTCTACTTTAACCTAGAATCATATAGGGATTTTACATGGTATCAGAGCAATAAAACCTAGTTCTCTTTTCACTCATTTTTTCTTTCTTTACTGTTTGTCTTCTTCCTGGGTTCGCCGCCAACCATTTCAGCCTTCTTCGATTTTCTGCTAGCCTGAGTGGAAGCTCGACAAGGGGCCAAAAAAGGAGTAGTCGTTTTGTGGTTTTGGAGGTGAGTATGCCTCCAGTTACTGTGGTGGTGGTCGTTGAGGTTGTGTACTAGATGCCCTCTACTCTGTGATACGAAGAGGGCTGTTTGTGAACAGGTATGAACAGTTCTGTTTTTTGCCCAAACAGTGGACTGTAAATGCTGTGTTTTGGTTCAAAATATTTTTTTTGTGGAGGTTTGGAGTGACTAGTGTGCATATCAGCCTTGTTCTCCTCTTTTTTTACCTCATATGTGTGTGGAAAGTAGAGTGTTTCGACTGCTGAAGTTCACAACAGTAGTGGTGTGGTGGTAGTTGTACTGTGTTGAATGGTGTGTGGATGATTCTGAATAGTTGAAAGTGAACCCTTGTATCTAGTGTGTGAATGGTTCTGCAGTGTGCAGTACA